GTTACATATCCTGGGCTGTAAAACAACAAAAATAAAAGGATTGGGGTCATAGAGAAGAAAATCTCTAACCACAGTGAATACAAATTAGAAATAGTATAGAAAAAAAACAGGAAGATTTTACCTGGAAACTAACAACACTTTTCTAAATAGTCTGTGGATCAAAGCACAAGGCCTCAGTGTATCAGAACTTCTGAGACACATGTCAAGCAATGCTGACAGGGAAATGTGTAGCACTAGATGCTTGCCTTGGAAAGGAGTTTCCCTTTGAAATCAGTCATCTAAGTCTCACCTTAAAGAAAAAAAAATAGGAGCAAAATAAACCCATGCAAGCAGAAGTTAGAAAATAATAAAGAACAGAAAACAATGAAATTTAAAACATAAGAATACAGAATCATTGGAATAAAAAGAGCTAGTTCTTTGGGCTGGTGTTGTGACTCAGTGGTACAGCGCTTACCTAGCAGATGCCAGGCCCTGGGTTCGATCTTCAGAATCATATAAAATAAATAAATAAAGGTACTGTGTTCAACTACAATCAAAAAATAAGTATTTTTTAAAAAGTTCTTTGAAAAGATGGGTTAAAGAACAAGCTCCCAGCAGTGCTCCATAATTGCCATGGAGCTTTAAAGAAATCTTTTAGGGGCTGGGGATATAGCTCAGTTGGTAGAGTGCTTGCCTTGCATTCACATGGCCCTGGGTTCAATCCCCAGCACCACAAAAAAATTTTTAAAAAAAAGTCTTTTAACAGATTTTCATAACAGAATTCTGAGTCTCTTTGGTGCTACTCATGTTCTAGCCAGTGTACACAAGTGGTTAGGAACATAAACTCTAGAGCCAATCTGCCTAGGCTGAAAGGAATCATTTGCAAGACATGTGTGAGTCATTTAGAGCAGCACCTGCCATTTTTATGAATTTTAAACAAATGTTAACTGTCATTATTATGAATGATGATGCATGATCTATTGAAGAAAATTCTAGTTATTCTACACAGGAAGAATATATTGTGGCTACATGTCTCTATATTGCCACTATATTAAGAGAACCTGTAAAGGAACATCAGATATACCACAGATAATCCAGGACTTTAATATACATATATATTACTGTTTAACTTTATATTTCTGGCTAATAATAATGTTTCTCTTTAACCTATACTATCATTTTATTTGCAAAATTATAAGATCTTGTTATTACAAAAACTGAACCTTTTTCTAGAAGTATGCCCACTTGATATAAAGAGACCTGCCAGCATCAGAAAACATTCTCCAAATAAAAATAGTCCAAAAAATTTTTAAGTATTTATAAATGAGTTGGTATCCATAAACAATTTTCTACAAGCCAATGAAAAAAGGAAAAAAATAAATAATGAGAAAAGCAAACAAAGGACACAAATACTTCCTAGAAGACACAGCATTAAAGAGAATAAAATACTTAGGAGTAAATTTAACAAAGAAATATAAACTTGTACTCTAAAATTTGAAAGACCTAAATAAATTGGAAAGATGTTCCATGTTCATAGATTGATAGGCTTCCTATGAAGATGGTGGTACTCCCACTCAGAATCTCAAGTGGCCTCCCCAAATCTCCAATTTAACAGAAATTGACAAACTGATCCTAAAATTCATATGGAAATGCAAGGGACCCAGAATAGCCAAAATAATCATGAGAAAGTAAAACAAAGTTAAGGGATTCAAACTTGTTCATTTCAGACTTACTGCAAAGCTATAATAAACAAGACAGTGTGATGCTAGCAGAATAGGCATAAATCAGTGTGATAGATTGAGAGACCAGAATAAACCCTCGCCAGATATAATCAATTGTTTTTCTCAATAAGGATGCCAAGATGATCAAATGGAAAAAGAATAGTCACTTCAACAAATGGTGCTAGGATAACTGAATATCTACATGCAAAAGAATAAAGTTGGCCCCCTTCCTCTTGTTATACACATTTATACAAACTGGATCATAGACCTAAGCAGAAGAGCTACAACTACAGAAGTTTTAAAAGAAAACATAGGAACAACTCTTCATAACATTGGAGTAGTACAGATCTTCTTACATACAGCACCAAACGCACAAGGGAATTTTAAAAGTAGATTACACTTCATCAAAATTAAAGACTTGTGCTTCAGAGTGTTCCTAGAAAGTGAAAAGACAGCCCATGGAATGAGGGAGAATATTTTTAAATGTTTTTAGTAGTGTATAATAGTTATGCGTAATAGTGGGGTTCATTTTGACAAAATCATACATGCACAGAATATAATTTGCTCCATTTCAGTTCTCAGTGCTTCCTCTTTCCCATTCTCCTTCCTCTACTCTACTGGTCTTCCTTGTCTTTATTTATTGTTTTTTTTTTAATTGGTGCTTTATAAACACACATAAAGCTGGAATTCACTGTAGTACACACATACACACATGATTTTTGTCAAATTCGTTCTGCAGTTCCTCCCTTTTCCTGTCTCTGGGAGATAATATTGGTGAATTATACATCAGATGAAAGATTTCTAGAGAATATAAAAAACTCTTACATCTCTTTCAGCAATAAAATATGGGTAAAGGATTTCTTCAAATAAGATATATAAGTGTCCAATAAACACATGAAAAGATGTTCTACATTATTAGCTAACAGAATTGCAAATCAGAGCCACAAGATACCACTTTATACCCACTCAGACAGCTAAAAATAAAAATAAAGAAACAGATAATGACAAGTGTTGATGAGCATATGGAGAAATTGGAATTCTCATATGTTGCTGGTAGGAATGTAAAAGGATTCATTCACTTTAAAAAACAGCATTTCCTCAAACTTTAAACACAGAGCTACCTACCTTGTAATCCAGCATTTCCAATCCTAGGTACATACCCAAGGAAATGAAAAGATAGATTCATTCAAGAATCTCTGTGTGTGTGTTCATAGCAGTGTGGTTCTTAGCCAAACAGGAACCACCCAAATGCGCAATCAGTTGAGTGGATAAACAAAATTAGTATATCCATACTTCAGTAATGTTGAACCAAAAAAAAAAAAAAATGAAGTACTGATAAATGCTTCAACATGAATAAAACTTGGAAGCATTTTGCTAAGTGAAAGAAACCAGTTACTAAAGACTTCATATTGCATTATTCCATTTACATTTAATGTCCAGAATATGCAAATCTGCAGAGACAATACGTTGTGGCTGTCAGGGCTGGGAGGGTAATGGTGGTGATGGCTAATGGGTATAGGGTTTCTTAAAATTAGACTGTGGTGGTAGTCACACAACTCTGTGAATATACCAGAAATTATGAATTGCACACAAATCATATCTTAGTAAAGCTTTTCCTTCTTTAACTAGTGTCCTAATAAAAGGTATCTATTCTCTCATTTTTTAATATTTACTGAGTGACCTTGTTCTAGTGGGCATTCTTTTAGACACTGGAGAAGTAGCACCAAACTAAATAAGCAATCTAATGATCTGAGGAATTTTTGAAGGGATATTGTGGAAACACCTAAATGATCCAGAGGCAGACAGCTTATAGCATACGGCAGAATACTGTTCAGCCATTTGCAATTTAAGTTTTCACAGAATAGTGAGAAGGCGATGTGAGAAAATTATACTGTGTAATGTGAAATATATAAAGTGCTGTATATGAAATATATGCCCACTATGAAATCAGTATTTCCATAGATAATGGTGTGAGATTTTTATTCTTGAGCCCACCTTTCAGGGATTATTGTTTTTTTAATGTTTTCATGAGTTTTCTCATCTACAATTGGATATTTATTTTTTTTTAAATATTTACTTATTAATTTATTTGTGGACTGGGATTGATCCCTGGGGCACTTCACTGAGTTGCATTCTCCAGCTCCCCACCTTCTTTTAATCTTTATTCATTTATTTTTACGCAGTGCTGAGGATCGAACCTAGTGCCTCACACTTTCGAGGCAAGCACTCCACCGCTGAGCCCCAGCCCCATCCTCCAGCCCTTTTAACACTGAGACAGCTTGCTGAGTTGCTCAAGCTGGCTTTAAATTTGCAGTCCTCCAGCCTCAACCTCCCAGGTCTCTGGGATCCTACCCAGCCGCATCCATTGCCCTATGTTGCCATTAACACCAAGCAAAAGCCCTGAACAGGGACAGAGTTCACTTTCTCATGCTTGATTAGGTTTGTTTCCTTCCAGTTCAAGAGAATCTGACCATGGGGGAGATTGGATTTACTGTTGAATAAAATTGGTATTTTTCACATGCCAGTATGAGCACGGAATTTGAAAGGGAAAAGGAAAAGTAACAAAAGTTCTCCGCTCTTTGTTTGGCGTGGCTTTTATCCTTTGTGTCCCATTTGTGAGTTCAAGTTGCTGCGTTTTGCTTACTGCGGTGTCAGCCTGTCCACCATGCTTTATTTATTACATCAGAGTTAACCTCAGTGCTTATCAAGGTCCAGCCATTGTAATGCATTACCTCCCTCAGACCTACTCAGACCCTAAACATTTCCAGCATGTTGCACAGCTGATTCATGCTAGTCAGACCGCAGTACAGGAGCTGTCACCTCCAGGGCTCACGCTCTTCACACTCTCACCTGCTATGAACCAATGAGGTAAAAGAGCAGAAATCCTTGCTGGGGGAGTTTTCAGCAATCAGGGGATTAGGCACACACCAGAGGTAGGAAAAAAAAAATGTACCCTGGTGTGATACAGCCCTAAAGTGCATAGTGAAGAGAACTAGGGAATAATGGAATGTGATAAAGTACTGACTGTTGGCTGTAGACAGTAACTATAGCAGATTACAAACCAGGCAAGGTGTGCATGCCTGTAATCCCAGCCATTTGGGAGGCTGAGGCAGGATGATTGTGAGTTCAAAGCCATCCTCAACAATTTAGCAATTTAGTTCCCTTATTTAGATCATGATGCTTGAAGTGAGGTGTCTTTTCTGCATTCTTCATAACCTGAGATATATCCAGCTAGTGAACATGTTGCCACGTGGTGGTTCTCTTGATAAAACCTCTTTAACCATCTCATCTTCTTTGCAGGCCACATGGCTGTATGGCATACAAATAACAGGCTTACTCCTGGTCTGCGTTCTTCAGTTTTTTAATTCCATGATTCTTGGCTCATTGCTTATCAGTTTTAACCTTTCAGTATTAATTGCAAGAAAACTTCAGGTAAGATTGTTTTTGTACTTAAATTTTTAAAAATTGTGTTGTTCCCCAGATCTTATTTTCCTACAGCATACAAGGGAAAATCTATGACCCAATTCCCAGAAAAAAGCATAATGTCATTATTCGTTTTATTTTTTTTAAATGCATGTTATAGCATTTCTGTTTGAATCTTTCCGAGGTCTCCTGCCATCCCTTCCTTTCGGCAATTCATATTTCTTAGAGAATTAAAACCTTAATTCAGTGATTAGCCACTGGTGCTTATTGAATACCATTGACATTTAACTGATCTAAAGTTAAATCCATTTTGAAAATTTAGACATATGGTCATTTTCTAAGTTACTGTGAAATCCAATTTGAAAACATTGGCCTGGGGCTGACAGTGTATCTCAGTGGTAGGGAGCTTGCTTAGCATGTGTGATGCTCTCAGTTTGATCCCCAGCACCATAAAAAATGAAACATTGACCCAATCTTTTGACTTTATTATATTATTAAATTTCTTGGGCTGGGATTGTGGCTCAGCAGTAAAGTGCTGGCCTAGCATGTGTGAGCCCCCGGGTTCGATCCTCAGCACAACGTATAAATAAATAAAATAAAGGTATTCTGTCCACCTTCAACTATAAACAATATATATTTTATATATTTTTTTAATTTATATGAGATTCTTAAATTTATATGAAATTTAAGTGTTTAAATTTACTTGGTTTTCCTTAAAATTGTTACAAAGCCTATTTTCCTTCTCATTTGCTATAAACATTTCTATATCAAGAAACTGTTTTGCTTTCTGCTTTGGGAAGAAAAATCTCTTTTGAGTGAGAATTGCTGTGGATGAATTGTTTTTTTAAAACAATGGTTCTCGGGACTGGGGCTATAGCTCAGTGGCAGAGTGCTCGCTAGCATGCGTGAGGCACT